ATGTGGACCAATGAATTTCAGCCTCTGATGGGTCTTGTTAGCCTGTCCTCATCCTCTGGGAAGAAAAGAGTCAGGGTAAACAGAGAGACTAGAAGTCTTGGCAGACATTACTTTGGCTCAAAAGCAAGGAGCAGGGCTCCTCCTCTGCCTACTATCCACCTGTGATAAACTCACATGGGCAAGCCTCCTCTCAGGGAGCAAGAGCTCCATCGTTTCTGTTTTATCTGCAAGTGGTCATGGGAAGCAGTCTGAGCTCTGAAAGCCTGGCTAGAAAAGAAAACTCAGGGGCCGGCCCTGTGGTTTAGTGGTTAAGTGCGTGTGCTTGGCTGCTGGCAGTCCGGGTTTGGATCCCAGGTGCGCACCAACGCACCGCTTGTCTGGCCATGCTGAGGCCGTGTCCCACACACAGCAACTAGAGGGATGTGCAACTATGACGTACAACTATCTACTGGGGCTTTGGGGAGAAAAGGGAAAAAAAAAGGAGGAAGATTGGCAATAGATCTTAGCTCAGGGCGTGTCTTCCTCACCAAAAAGAGGAGGATGTTAGCTCAGGGCTGATCTTCCTCACCAAAAAAAAAAACAAAGAAATTGAAAAGAAAACTCAGCATCTGCTATGCAGACCCAACTCTCTCTATTGACATGTGAATCATGTAAGTCCAATGGCTTGTTTTGGACTTAGAATGCCCAGACACTAGCCTAAGACTTAGCCATTTTCTCCATTCTATTGTTCCTCTGAAAGTCCTGATTCTAGAAGATTGATAGGGGCTCTTTCTGATCCATTTATTAGTCATTGATTTTTAATATAAAGGATTTACTTTCCATTTGCATATATCCATTCTTTGCATTTATCTACTTTTTTTTCTGATCTCTCTGGAGGGGAGAATGAAGGAATCTTGTGATGAGACTGCTGTGGGAGCTTTCCCAAGCTGAAAAACAATCCAGTTACTAAAAATTTCTTTGACTCAACAGTGTAATTTTAATCCTACAATGGCCTGAATGTTAGAGAGGCATGTGGTCAAGTTTTGAACATATGACACCCTCACGTGTGGTCACAGAAGAAAACTTTGGACCCAGCAGTTAAAGACAGAATTTTCACTTCGCCGTTAAATCCTAGAGCCTTTCCAGTTGTGCTTGCTTCACTTCAAAACCTCAAAAGCACCTATGTGATGAGACCTGTCAGTGAACTTGAGTTGGGAATAAGTGTCTCCGAGGACAGAGAAGACAAAGTGAGCCACAAGCTCATGACTCGTCTTTATGGATGGTGCTGCTTTTCTCTCTCCTTGAGGCCTCTTTGACAGAGGAGACGATGGATAGGGCTTTGAATCTTCAAGTCATTTTAAAAGCAGCAAACTGGTGAAGTTGAATCTGTTTATGCTCAGAACTTGCAGCAATTTATGTGCATCAGGTCATTTAATGGTCCTGATTTTCCGACAAGATTAGAAACTTGTTCTTCAAATAGGTGGCAGGTATTGATGACAGATAGAGGGGGAGAATGAAGTCTGTCTAAATACAATACAGAAAGACATATTTTTCTACCCTATAGATTTCATATTAATAAGACCTGTCTAAGAAGGCCATAAGATCAATACTTGCCAGCACATATTCTCCCAACGAGATTCGCATCTTCTAGTCTGCTCAATTTATTTGGTTGCCTGAATATCACACATCACAGTAAAAGCAGGTAAAAGTGTCAAGTAACTTCCTCCTCTTCCTTGCTGATCAGAACCTTCAGTTCATGGCTGGTTTGTTGTCATGACATAAACACTACTCAGACACACTGGCCACATATAGTGTTTTCAGTCCTTGGAGCCCAAATCTACACACAATGTGGGGCTTTACATCTTTGGGCTATCGTTTCCTCACTCAGTAATCAGGGAGCTCAGAATTCAGGGCTTTAGGCTTCAAATCTCATACAAGAGTCTGAAAGGGCTGTAGATTACTCGCAACTGACATGATGCCCTGGAGACCAGTCTGCGTTTGGCTGCACCAAGCCTACTGAAGCCTGTAAGAAGCTCTTACACAATTAGCTTGCCACGGTTCTTTCAGAGCCAGAAGCCAAGAGCAAAAAAATTAGATTGCACAAATTCAGTATATTAAGAACTCAAGTGCCAGGCACATGCTGTAAATGGAGTAAAGAAACTTCAGGCCACAATCTGCCCTTATCTCTACCCATTTAATTTGCTCCACTATAGAGAGTACATTAAATAGATAATTGCCTCTGTCTCCCCCCACCCCAGTCCGCTTGGAAATACCATGCTTTCTTCTTGCAACAGATGATGAATTATATTTATTAGTAATAATAAAGAATTCTGTCTTTTATTCTTATAACTCATCTGAAATGTCACATATTTGAATACTTTGACATGCACGCTTAATTGACCTTTGGTGGAAACATGCCAGGGAAGAAAGGCTCAAGGTAAATGGAACCTCTTGGTAATTCAGACTTTCTATTTGGGGCAGGACTTAGAGAAGTGTTAATCTCTCAGGGCATGAAAGAATTTATAAAGTTATTTGAAACCAATGAATAGTTGTAATTACGTGTTTTCAATCTGAGCAACTTCACTTTTACTGGAATAGAAAAAAGAGAATACACGTTGAAGTCAGACAAGAAAACTCATTCACGTGCCCACCAGTTGGAATTAGCCAGTGTTAACTTTTTGGCACATTTGCTTCTGTTTTTTTTTCTCAGGTTTTAAAAAAGTACACAAGTTATATATGAACATATGATCATTTCTTTAAAAATTAGAATATTACATTTAGAAATAAAATCTCATCTTGATCTTGACCTCATGATCCATATCGACTCAAACTCCAAGCAGATACAATCATCATTATCAGAGTTCTTTTATGTACGTTTACACAGACGTACACACACCGAAAATATTATTTTTCTGATTTTTTAACATAAAATAGTTGTACACTTTAACAGCTTACTTTTCTTTCTTTCTTTTTTTTTTTGGTGAAGAAGATTAGCCCTGAGCTAACATCTGTTGCCAATCCTCTTTTTGCTGGAGAAGATTGGCCCTGGGCTAATATCCATGCCCATCTTCCTCTACTTTATACGTGGGATGCCTGCCACAGCATGGCTTGATAAGCAATGCGTAGGTCCACGCCTGGGATCTGAACCCATGAATCCTGTGCCACTGAAGCAGAGTGTGTGAACTTAACCACTATGCCACCAGGCTGGCCCCAACAGCTTACTTTTTTATTTAACATTTTTGAGATCTATATTGACAAATAGACATATATTCATTCTTATAACAACTGAATAATAATCCACCGTATTTCATTTCGCTTCATTATTCTCTTATTGCATTGTGTGGTTACTTTCTTTCATTTTCTTTTCTACAACAAAGCATGTGTAATACTCACCTTTGTGTCTGTCTCCTTATCCATATGTATTTTTTTAAACTCAGAGACTTGAAAGTAGAATTGCTGAGAAATCGGGTATGTACATTTTCACATTTAATAGATATGACCAAATTGTCTTCTAGAATGGTTGTAATGATTTTTATTCCCGCCAGTGATGTGTCTGAGAACTTGATTTTTTTATTCCCTCATCAATATTTAATACTGCTAGATCTTAAAATGTTGGCCTATCTGATGGATAAAAAACAGTATCTCATTATTTTAATTTACATTTTCCTGATTATGGGTGACTTTCATGTTCTTTTCATGTGTTCTTTGGCTTGTTAGATGCTGTGAATACAGAAGTGGTACATTTTGCACAGGTTTCCTGTTGTTTGTCTTTGTCTTGAATTGTGGGAGTTCTCTTGGTATCATATCTTTAAAAATAATTTTTCGTTATTTGTGTTCTTCTAGCTATAGATTGTCTTATCTTTGCACACGCATATTTCTGGTTAAGTAGAATTTTTAAACTCTGATATAGCCACGTTTGTTAATGTTTTTCTCTTTTATTTTTTTTATTTTGGGCTAATTTAATCAATATATTTCTAACCTAAGTTCATAAAGTTAGTCTTTTTTTGACTCAGTTCATTTTTTTTCATATTTATGTTTTTGTTGCATCTGGACTTTATTTTTTGTTTCACCATTTAATTTTTTCCATAGAGATAGGTAATTGTTTCAACAACATGTGTTTAATCATCCAAATTCTCCCCCTACTGACTTGTAATGCTTCCCTATCACGCATACATACTTTTGTCTATAAGTCGGCTCTTTTCTGTTGCACTTACCTATTCATCTATTCCTGAGCCAATTTTGCTACTCTAAAATGACTATAGCTTTATAAAGCTTCTTGCTGAATAGTAGATTACGTGGCCTTATCTTGTTTATTTTATTTTTTGTCCAATTTATTCTTGCACATTTATGCTTCCATATAAATTTAGAATCCATTAAAAAACTTCCACAAATAATTTCATTTAGATTTTGATTGAGATTGCATTAAATTTATAAATTAGTTTTCAAAGAATTGATATAATATTGAAATTTTCCATGTACCATTTATTTAGGTGTTTCATGTCCTTCATTTTATTATTTTCTTTTCTTTTTTTTTTGGCTTCCAACTGTATTAGTCTCTTTTTATGCTTTTGATAATCTCTTCCAGAGTTATCTCCTTCTATTTGTAGGTGCTGAAATGTGTAAGGAATACACTTCACATGTTGGCACTGCTGTGAGCACAGTCTTTCCCTTTACTTCAACTCAAAATTAAGACTTGTGATTCTTTGTTTCTATATTCCAGTCCTAGAAGTAGTTTTCACTGTAGAAGTTATCTAAAGACAGTCTTATGCTTTCTAGTAGTGGTCTACACCCAACCGGGCTCTAGCTTCTCCAGGAACACTATACAAGATAGATTTAAACATGTATTAATCTAAGAGGCATTCTCTCAAATGAGTTACGAGGCATTTTATTTTTAGACAACCTATAGGACACGTTTTTTCCTCAAAAACAATGCCTCCGCTCCAGATAAATCTAAGTCAAAATAAATGAGGAGCTGAAGATAACGTCAGTCCCATTGGTCTAAGTCCTGGTGTTGTGTGGACAAAAAGCCGCAGCCAGTTATGACGGGTGTAGATCCAAAGTAACAGCCAAATTTGCTAACATTTTTCCATTCCTAAACCATCTTTAAAGAAAATCATCTATGGCGTCACACCATCCTCAAGCAGTCCAGCAGAGCAACCATGCCATCTGGATTCACGTTTTCACCCATAAAGAACTGGTAGTTTTTGAAATGAGCAAGGATGTGCTTGATTTGTCCTGCAGCCCCTGTCATAAAAGGTTTTACTCTTTCTGATCGCTGTTCTTCAAGTTTGCCTTTGATGGATTTCATGTAATCTTTGATGTAATCTTGCAGGCTTCTTTGGTGAAGCTGGTTTCCCGCCAAGTGATGGTTCATGACAATATCAACACCAGTGATGACCGTGCCTTCGGGACCTTCGCCCTCGGAGCCTTCAGCAGAGGCATTTCCACCAATGAGTGAGTCATCAATGTTACCCTCTCTCCTACTCACCATCTTCCCCTCCACCTCCAGGCACAGCCCTTCCGCAATCTCCCGGATCTTGTAGATGTTGGAGAACATCTCATCATGGCTGATGAGGTCCCGGTAGATGATCACGCTGACAGCCAGAGGGAGACAACGGCGGTGCAACTTAACAGGAGCCTGGAGCTCGGAGCAAGCGCCCTGGGGGTAGGGGAAGTGGGCAGAAAAGGCCCACTCAGCCACTCCCCAACCTCTCATAGAGGGAACTTCCACCTGCGTCATCGCCCGCTGTGCCTCCCTGTTATTTTCTTAGTGAGGCTCATTCACTTTTGCTAATATTATTTTTAATTACTTTGTAATTTTAAAACTGTTTTGAATGAAATATTTTACCTGATTTTTTCTTATTGAACATTGATGTTATTTAATTTAGAGTTGAATTTGAGTTTTATGTGTGGCTCCTCCCATCAGCTATGTGTCTGAGATGTATATGAGATACTTGCTGCAACCTCTTATGAGTTCTAATAGTTTGTTCATTGACATTTTTGAATTTTCTTATGCTTACAGTCCCTCCCTATTTTATATTTCCACATTTCTTAACTCTGAGAATAGTCTACCCTCTTGTGAACTCATTTATGCATTTAAAACAGTTTTTAAAAATGTTATCCAGCATTTCTAGGTGTTCCACCTATAGGAGAGTTTGGAGTTATATGCTCTACCTGAACACTGTAAATTATATTTTAGAAATTTACCCATTTCGTCCAGGTATTGGAGTAAAGTTATTCAGGGACTTCCATTATTAAAAAAAAAAAAAAAAACGAACACAAACCCCAAACCAAAAAGACAAATTTATTTATCTCTATTTGAAACAGTTATATATATTTTATATATATTTTAAATTTTTACTTTTGAAACAATTTCAAACTGTTGCAAGTAAGTACAAAAAAATTTTTTCCCCCAAGAATCATTTGAGAGTAAGTTGCTGACATGTTGTCCCATCACCCCCAAATACTTTAGTGTGTACTTCCTACAAACAAGATCATTTTTCTGCAGACCAAAAGTCCATTCATCAACATTAGGAAATGATCACTGACTCATTACTGCAATCTGTTCCACAAAGCCAGTTCGAGCTTTGCCAGTCGCCCATAAATGTGCTTCATAGCAGAAGGATCCAGTCCAGCACCATGCATTGCATTATGCTGTGTTGCTTCAGTCTCCTTCAATTTGGAACAGTTCCTCGGTCTTCCCTTGATTTATTTGACCCTGACAATTTTGAGCATTACAAGTTAGTAATTTGTAGAATGTCTCTCAATTTGAGTTTGATGATTCCACATGATTAGATTCAGGTTATGCATCTTTGGCAGGAATATCACTGAAATGATGCTGTATTCTTCTCATTGCATCCTAGAAGGTGGGAGTTTGATCTCGATTTGTCACGTTATTGGGACTTGATTAAAGTGGTGTCTGCCAGGCTTCTCTGCTGTAAAGTTACCCATTTCCCCTTTGTAATTAACATGATTTTATGGGAAGTTACTCTGAAACTATGTAAATATTCCATCCATATCACACTTTCCATTCATTTATTTCTTCCTTTGTATCAAGTGAGATGCAATATTTTATTCACTAGATTATTATTTATTCATGAGGTAATCTGTTTCTTTACTATTTTTTTTTTTTTTGCTGAGGAAGATTCACCCTGTGATAACATCTGTTGCCAATCTTCCTCTTTTTTTTCTTTTTTCTCCCCAAAGCTCCAGTACGTAGTTGTGTATCATAGTTGTAGAGTTGTAGCTCTATCTGTGTAGGATGCCACCTCAGCGTAGCTTGATGAGTGGTGAGTAAGTCCGTGCCCAGGACCTGAACTGGCAAACGCCAGGCTGCCAAAGCAGAATTCGAGAACTTAACTGCTACGCCACTCGACCAGCCCCATGATATCTGCAATTCTAATCAAACATCCCAATGTTCTTTCTAATTTTCCCTCTTTCCATATTTTAAACCCCTTTTCCAATAATGAGACAGCTAGCTGCCATTATCCTTAACATATTTATTTAATCCTGTATGTAGCTCTCTTCACTGCCGTTGCTCCTTTCCCCTCTTCTCCTTCCCCCTGACCTAGTGCTGTGGAAGGATGCCTTCCTTTCTTCTTTTGGGCTCCAACACCCCATCTACTGCTCCCCTATTCACATGGATGCCCTACTTACCCACCTTGGACCGAGTCATTCCTCGCATGGTAGCCCTCTTCTCCCCTCTTGGGCTCCGACATTCCATACCAATCCCCTCGCTGTGTGGACACTGTCTTTAACATGCTCAGCCCTCTAGATCTCATGCTGGGCCTTCCTCCTAGATAGACACCCTCCTCGATTTTCTCTGGCTCTGACATCCTGTGTTGGCCTCCTGTGGACACCCTCAGGTGTACTCTGCTCAGGCTCCAGTATCCTGCTCTTGGCTTGCTGCTGACAAGAATCCCTCCTAAGCTCACGGGGCTCTAATATCCCATGCCTCTGGGTCTACTTCCCTCCACCCCCAGGTGGATGCCCTCTGACATCCTATGGACTCTCTTCCAAGATGCCCCCCTGTATAGAGGCCCTCTTCCCTCTGCTCAGACTCCAAAAACCTGTACCTTAAGGCCCTGGTGATGCCCTCCTCGCTCTACCTGATTTCTGACACAGTGGCTGTGCCCAGACTATTGCTCTTGGTGCCTTTCTTGTGGACACCCTCATCACCCTGCCCAGACTGCCAAGGCCATATCAGGCTTCCCTCCTTGCGGGGACATCCTCCCCACTCTGCTTGGTCTCTGACATTTCATGCTGAGCCTCCATGATTCTCCTCCAACACCCACACTGCATAGACACCCATCGTGCTCAGCTCCATCTAACGCATGTGCTTTGAATTGTTGGAGAAGGGAAGGAAAACTTGTCAAATTTGGCAGCTTTCCTTATATTTTGAGGCTGTATTATTAGGTGAATATAGATTTATGATCGTTTTAAATTCTTGATGGATTTTTGGTCATTTTAGCCACATGAATGTCCCTATTGACTTCAGTTAATTCTTTTCATATTGAATTGTTTTTTTTGGATATATATACAAACTTTATTTTGGTCAGTATTTGTCTGTTATATCTTTTCCTAAATTTTTTATGTTCCATTTTTTTGGGGTAGTATTATTTTAGGTGTCCCTTATAAACTATATCCAGATGCATTTTTAGTCTAATCCGAGAACTTTTTAAGAGATGATTTAAAATCAATACCTGTATTTTCATTACTAATATATTTGAATTTATTTCTTCCATATTATTTAGTATTTACCATTTAATACAAGGTTTGTTTCCCTCTCCTTTCTTATTTCAGTATTTGTATTCTATATTGTATAAATATATAGTTAATGAAAATTTAAAATGTATTTTTTCCTAGCTAAATAGAAAGGTAATCTGTACTTCCGCCAGCCCTGGTGGTCTAGTGGTTAAGATTTGGAGCTCTCACCACCATGGCCCGGGTTCATGTCCAAGTCAGGGAAGCACACCACCCATCTATCGGTTGCCATACTGTGTCAGCTCTGTGTTGCTATGATGCTGAAAGCTGTGCCACTGGGATTTCAAATACCAGCAGGGTCACCCATGGTGGACAGGCTTCAGCAGAGCTTCTAGACTAAGACAGAGTAGGAAGAAGGACCTGGCTACCCACTTCTGAAAAAATTGGCCATGAAAACTCTGTGAATAACAGTGGAGCATTGTCTGATATAGTGCCCGAAGGGGAGAGGATGGTGTAAAAAGACCAGGAGGGTTCCTCTCTGCTGTACATAGGGCTGCTAGGAGTTGGAATCCACTCGATGGCATTAACAACAACAAAATCTGTACTTCAATTCTCCACAGATAAAACAAAAGAGTTGAAATATTTTATTTCCTTCTCCTGTCTCCTACCTTCCAACTTCCAATTTTATTTCTTGGCTTATAACCCAAAACATTCTGTTTTGTAATTATTTTTTATAGAAAATACACATTTAGATTTACCAATTATTATTATTTTTTTTTACTAATTTCTTTGCTTACCCTTAATTTTTTATTCCACATAGTCTTTAGACTTCTTTTTTTTCTCTCAATAGAGTCTATTCTTTGCTGGTTCTGTCAATGAAAATCTGAGGCAAACTGTCTAAAATATGGCCTGTCTGAAGTTATTGGTAATGGACCTTTACACTTGGATGATTCTTCAGTTGGATAGAGAATTCTAAAATCAGAGTTTCCCTCTGTTGACTTCTGGCATTCCACATTTCCAAAAACAAACATAATGTCAAGCAGACTTATGTTTCTTTCCTCCTGGTAACTTTTGGGATATTCTCTCTCTTATCATTAATGTTCTGAAGTTTCATTACGTACCTGGAGGCGTGAATTGAAAAAACACTATCCTGCCTCTTGTTTTGTGTTTACATAGCTTATCGTTTTAAGGATTTAAAAATACTTATCTTGAGATACTTTTCAGATTGGTGTTGTCTATTTCCTTTGGTGTAACCTCTTCCATTTGCGGTGTCATTTACAATGTTTATCTTCTTAAGCATTTTATGTCTCTCGTTTGTAAGCTCACACTCCACACATTTCTCCCATGTTTTTCTCTCACAGAAAACCACAGTCTGTTTCAGAGCTCGAGGCCAGGATGCATTTTGTGCTCAGAGATGCTCCTGCATGAGTGATGCATTTCCTGCCCGGTGCATGCTGATGGCAGGACACCACTCACCCTTCACGTATGAGGGATGATACTAGAAACCACGGCTACTGGAAATGGCTGATTTCTCTAGCAACCTTGAGAAGTGTGCAAGGCTGTCCCAATCTCTATTCATGGGAGAGAGTTGTGTTTCACACTCAGCTCCTGGGGGTGGTGTTAATTTGGTCTTTAGCTGTGGAGATCTGGGAGAGCCTGGCCGCTGCCTCTGCGCTTTCTGCTTAGATCCACGCCTAGCTCTCTGGCACCAAGTGGCACTAAGTGATTTTAGTCTCTGACAATTACCAGATATTCCCTTTGGTTATTTTCTTGTAGTAAATGGCTCCCTTTCTTATTTTCATAAGTAGCTATGTGTTTATTAATTCTGAAACTTTTAAAACCATTTCCATTTGGAGGGAGTGGAGATTTCAGAATGTGTTTAAGCCACTTTCATAAATATTAGATCTTCCTTGGCCTAGAGGAAGCCGAGACTCTTTCCAGTCAGTCTCATGCTTGGGCTGTTAAGGCTTACTACGAAAAAGAAGTAGGAAGAGGGCTTCTGTGCCTGAACACTTGAAGAAGGTTGGGAAGGACAGAGGCTGGAAGAAGTTTGGGGGAAGGGATGGTGAACGAGCACTGCATGTTGCAGTCTGTACCATCCTAAAGTTGGTCCCATAATATGTCTGCTGTCCAGAAATTGTGAGGGCATAAAGACTAGGATCAGACCTGCTACGAGGAACGTATTTATGTACCTTGTTGCTATGTCACCCCACAGAGCCAATTCAAACTGTGTGGCCTGGAGGCAACTATTATGGGTACACTTTCTGTATAAATTGAACCTCCCTCAGCCTGTGTATTGCAATCTCACCTGCCAAATGCCCAGCAACTACTTGAGGGGGACTGTCACTCAGCCTGGACTTGAGAGCTCATCTGGCAGACACCCCAGCCATTGTATCCTGGAATCAAGAGGTTACAGTCTTCAAGACCTCCCATGACAAATGATTCAGTAGTCCTACACCCACCCAGTACCAAGTTCCCTGTGTTAGTCCAGGAGACCTCTGGAAATTTAGTGTGTGCGGGAAGGAGAAATTCCCATACTTGTAATTTGGGGCCAGACAAAGACACCTTTGGACACTCTGAACTAGGAAAGATGGGTGATTTCACCTGCTACATTATTACCAGCATCTACTCTCTCCTTCACCTCTAGCTTATATTGGATATGTTCCCACAAGAGTTTCTGATGTACACACAGGTGAGGCCACAGGTGCTGTCTAAAAAGCCCTATTTCTATTTTCCAGAGCCGCAGTTTGTAGAATCCACTTGTTCAGGACACAGGCTCCTTGACTTAGCCCACTGTCACTTTTTGGTCTCACTTTTGGTTCCAATGCTTTGCTGACTCTGTTTGGTTCCCAACCCAACTGACTGCTCTCCATGTCTTTCCCTTGGTCTCTGGGGTCCTGATTCCTCACTCTGCTGTGGCCTCCTGAACTTCATTCCTGATTCCACCCCAGCTAGGAGGGGTCTTGGTCATGTCTTTTACTTTTTGAGAAAGATAATAGTTTGGAAGAAAAGAAAGGGAAGAGGGTCGGGTAAATATTCTTTCTTGACTACCAGTTATGTACCAAGTACTGTGCTTGATAATTTAGATACATTGCTCTAATCCTTTCAACCAACACCGGAGTCAGATGTTGTTAACCTTTAAAAAGATATCAAACACACTCCAATTTATTTGATTTCCAAACAAGTGGAAGTGATTAAGGTCCTATAACCTAATAAAGACATCAAGATTTATGAATCAATTTATTAACCAAGAGGTACTCATGTCTACCCAGCATCTAACGACCTTTTTGAAAATGAATTTACAAATGCACTACATTTCGATTTCCAGGGAAACTTCCCCAGGTCTCCAAAGGCATATACAACAGTTTTTGTTTCAACCTGATTTTTAAATGACGACATCTTATGTTTGATACATCATTTGGTGTCTTTTTAAAGATTTATTTGGAGTACATAATTCTCAATAAAAAGATACAAATACATGGTCATACAAGAAAATATATGAGATACCTGTGTGTGATACATGAGTTTAATTCTCTCTCCATCCTTTACGTTCATCTAATTCTTCACTATCCCCCACTATTTCTTAAAATGGCTTAGAAGATGGATTGGTACTTTTGGTTATGTCCTGTTGATGATTTAGATGGTGTTAGAATATGCAGAGATAGCCATGGGCAACAGTAATACCATTGGATATTTCAATGTGATCCTTCAAGTATGTATTTAAGGGCACAAAAATCCTATGTTAGAGATAATCAGTGCATGTAGCTGGACTAAATTCATGCTAGTAGCCAAGATATGCCTTTCCCCATCGACCAAAATTATTCATAAACCATCATATATCTATAAAGAGAAGTGAGCACTCAACAGGAGAATGGAGGATGCATCTGTAAGTCTTGAGTAGCAAGATCAATTCACACTCTTGTCATAATGAAGAGGGAGGGTTTCTGCCTTCATTTATTTTCCTGACATCTGACAGGTGACAGTTTAGGTGAGGCTGCTGACTACATTTCTGTTATTCTGATTCAAGCAGAAAATCCTTTGTAGATCCACAGAAAACATTACTGTAACTTCCCAAAGGGAAGAATTGGGTCAACACAATTTAGAGGATAAATTAAATAGTTTTGCAATGTGAGTGTAGAGACTCTGAGCTATGACTTTGGTGGATAACTTTTAAATTGTTTTAAGGTAGAAAGAGACTTCTTAAAAACCATTTTATCCATCAGAAATATGAAAGGTTTTTATTCTATGCCTTACAGATCAAATTGTCCCAAGGTGGGGTGGGAGAGAGTTGCCGCATGCTTATTTGAATTAACTGCAAGAAACTCCAAAACTTTTCTATGTGCTTCTCCTGATTTGCATCCTGAGTCTTGTTTAAACTATATTAAGTGGAGTCATTAGGCCATTCAAAACTTTTATGTACTTGAACCCAGAAACTAACTAACATTCTTGCTAGGAGCTCCTGACTTGGGGATACTTGCCTTAGCAGTCTCTTCTCTGCTCTCCATCGCCATTCTTATGCCTTTCATTTCTGTATAAGTCCATGATTTGGAATTGTCAGTAAGGATGAGCATCTAAGGACTGACGATTTGTGAGTCTTCAAAATAACCAATCGTATTTGTGCAAGGCTCATTGTTTATGTATCTTATTCTTCTAAGAGTTATTGTTTTCTTTCAAATAATGTTTCTATTAACTAGGGTTTTAATCTAGCTTCAGTGTCAGCTGCCCAACGTTGTCCTGAATTAAGTGTTTTAAGGAAGAACATCTATAAACTTAGAGCTATTTGCATTTTATGTATTCTTTTTAAAAAACCATATGGGCATATAATTAATCTTTGTTAAGCTAGTCACAGTGTTTGGATTATAGCCTATATACAAATTTTCTCGTATCAAGTCTCTTCCATTTGGTGGTAGTTATTCAAACTACCCAAGACTCCACTACTGATTTCCCACCAATACTGGCAAACTTTTTCAGAGTTTAAATTCACCTACAGTAATCAATAGGCATTAACAACTATCTCATCTTTTAAATAACCAGAGCCTGCAATGTCTTGGCGGATGCAAAAGCAGAGAGGTCAGGCCCATGGGCTGGTTGGGCAACATTTTGTGTTGCTGATCCAACCCTTAAAGGGAGTCAGGCTTCTTACCTGGGCTCCTTGGATGAGTTCCAGAGGGTATTCTGTGAATGTCCTAAAATTCAGTGCAAATGTTTCCTGTGTGAGAGTGTATATGGATTTTCACTTAACTTTCACCAGAAGAAGTTGCGTGGTATAGTGGATAGATGTGGTATTGTGGGCTCTGCAGGCAGACTGCCTGAATTTGTATCCCAATTCACCACTTGGCTGTGTGACTTTGAACAAATTACTTAACCTCTCTTCTTCAATATTCTCATAATTGCAGAAATGATCTTACAGGGCTGCTGTGAAGATTAAATGTGAGGGTTTTACGGGCCTGTGAGGCCCATAATACAGTGGCAGGCACTTAGTATAAACACTTGCTAAACGTTAGTAATTACCCTCATGTTCTCAAAGGAATTTGTAACCACCAAAAAGTTAAAAAAGCCACTGACCTAAGGTATTTTTAGAATTATGCTTTAAAGAAAAAAAAAATCAGTTTTTACGTGGAAAGTCACAATCAAACCTAATTCTAACAGAAATACCCATAGCAAAACATAGAGCTGCATATTCATAATGAGGCAGGAAGGCTTAGTAAATGGCTCTGAAAATGTGGAAGGCCAATTTGTGGTGTTCTTCCACGGGAGAAAAACGATCTACCTGGTCCTGGGTTACTCCCAAATGAAACACTTCCAGTCTGCTCCCGGCTGCTGTACCATCCAAGCTTGTCTTGAAACCCTGAAATAACCTTTCAAGGCAATAGCTTCAATTGCAACTCTGCATTTATGGATGCTCTCTCAGCATTGTCTTTTTCAATCAGTATGGAAGTCAAAGTTACAAAAGCATGGAGATTCTGCATATCTTTTAATGAAAGATAAAACAACAATATAAACATACACAAATTTACAGAGAAGGGATCAACTTTAATACATTTGGAGTAAAAGGTGTTTCTCGTTTAAATATGGTATAAAAATAAATGCAAGAAACATTAACTGAGAGTGTACAGACAACAAAGACATGAGATTGTTTCTGACTGTGAATACATCGGTGAAATGAAACTTTCTGTGCTAATTTATCATTTAATAAATGTGAAGCCATATGTATACTTATTGATATATGCTTTTTTTCTTTTACACTTCTTCCAGTTTGTGACTGACTGAGTTTTCAGTGAACTGCGTGTCTAGCAGAAGCTTTAAGAGAAGGAGAGAGAAAGGGGGAAAAAATGGTTTACTTCACTTGAACTTGTTAAAAAGGAAAAGACATTGATCCAGCTTAGTACAAGGAGGAAGTAAGCAGACATCATATTGAAATGGAGGCATTGAGATGGTAGAGTTCCTTGGAGATGACAATCCCTTAATGCACACAAAGAAAGAACAATTCAGGTCCTTTGCTCATGCAACATCTTGGTCTAGTGGCCTCTGCTCCAGGTGACAACAAAGAGCTACAAAGTATATGCAACGACTCCAGTCTGCTTCCGTGCTACAAGGTGATCCTTTTAGTAAGACTGGACGAGGCTCGTTAACCTCTTTGACGTGAGAGATTTCCCCTGAGAAAAAATATAAGACAAGGAAAAAAAAAAAGAAAGAAAGAAAACAGAGTATGATCACTGAAGACCTGCTTCTGAGGAGCATCCACTTATTACAGTCGATTTTCGTGCAAGGGTCAACACCCTCTAGGTACATCTTACTTCCAACTTCATGACCAAATTCCCTCCCTCCCTCCACCAGCACATCAAACAAAATGATCCTCCCTCCTTCCACCCTCCCACCCCTCCCACCCACTTCCTCCCACTGCAAACAGACTGATGGGTTCACAGCACAGATCAGCAAATCATAAAACATGTCCATAAACGTTCCATTGAGGCTTAGCAATGATGCAACATCTAGGCTCTCAACTGGTTATAAACACGTTAACAACAAACCTTAGTAAACTGCTCTGAAAGGTAGCAATGTGAATGCATTCTCGTTCAATTGCTGGCATTAGAGTTGCATTTATAAATATCTAGGTATGCAGGGGATATGATTTAATTAAATAAAATTCATTTTTGAGGGTGTGATTGGTGGAAACTCAAGATTGAGTTTTCATATCCCATGTAATAATGGAGAAAAACGTGCCAATTTTACATCTAGAGATAAAAGCCTCTTTGCTCCCCATTTCAAACCGTAGACATCTCTCTGTCCTTTTCCATCTGATTTCCTCCAACCTCAGCCCCAGAAAAAATTCAGATTTTCTGATTCCACGTATTGTGTTCATATTCATTTTTTGGAAATCTTGAAATCCAACAATGTTCCTGTAATACAAGCACCCTAGAGAGATGAGAAATTTTAAATTTCTGATAGAATAGCAGATTGTCAATTGGTGGTTTCTGTTTCAGCTCTCATTTTATATGCTTTAGTATAAAAATAAGATGGTCCACTTATTGAATGAAATTTGTATTTCTCAGAGGATAAAATAATAAGGGAAAATCAAAAGATCTGTGAGAAACATAATGTTTTAGTAATAAATTAGTCATAGCAATAGCCTTGGTTTACTATCTAATGCAACTCAGAGTTTGATAAAGGGGTGGTACGGTGTCCAAATCATCATTCATGGCCACGTTTTGGGAAAAGAACAATGTGTTTAAGATATGATTGATAATTTCAGAATCAAGCTTTCTTTCCACTCTGTACAATAACCGACCAGGGCTCCCTTGCTGATGTGAACAACAGCCTCGAAAACCAAGCACCATTTTCTTTTAACTGGGGAAAAGCATTCAAAACTTAGTTTTCAGCAACTGATAGTAGAAGACGCCAAAGTTTAGCAAAGGTCTTGCTCACTTGGCTATGCTTTGGTCCCTTTATGGGAGGAAAAGTAATGAAAGAAAAAGCAGTTTGTTAACAAGACACCCTACTTTACATTATAAACAAAATATGTTTTGTTTCTTGTTGCCATCATTTCTGTGCCTCTCTCCTCATCCATAAAATGGGGATAATAATAGTGCCTGCTTTAAAAGGTTTTCTGAAGAATAATACAAGTACAATTCTTAAACCTACCCTTGGAACACTCTATGTACTCATTTTATGTTATCTATTACCTTACTACCCTATTACTATTATTATTATTACTATTATATGCTTTCTCATCAGGACTCTAAGATTCAAATTCACTATGCCGATTCCAAGAAGGGTAGAAAACTGCTGATGACTTGGAAACTGAAATTATACTGCTTTTCCACCCCAAACCTGGGCAATAGGTTAATCAAATAGTGTTGGAATAAAAAACTAGTTTTCTATGCTTGAAGACTATACAGTTTCCTATATTTACTACTGTTGTCTCCCGTGCTGTTAATATAAATGTATACATGTGTGCATATATATTTATTCTGAGGCTGAATAATGTATTTTAAAAAAGTGCTTACCGGTTTTAATGTCATTTGTGGGATGGAGAGAACTACCTATTGGTTGAGGCATAAGAGTGAATTCTTATATAGTGGGGAATGAGGGGAAAGATGCTAATATAAAACTATTTCTTTTTAGAACTACAGATTAATGTGATTTGATACAAACTATTGGGAAGGAGAATGAAATAGTTACCTTGAAATAGGAAGCCATTTGAAACAGATATAATCGTTGTTTATTTGGACTGTCGTAACTACTATAAATGTAATAAATAGTAACACAGTTCTCTTTCTACTTATTATTATTATTTTTTTTTGCAAATATCCTGGGAGCTATTAGTGCTTGGCCCGGTATGGGCTTCGTTAAAAACCGGGTAAGGGGGGCCAGCTGGTGGCACAGCGGCTAAGTGCGCGCTCTGCTGCAGCGGCCCAGGGTTCGCAGGTTTGGATCCCGGGTGCGCACCGACGCACCGCTTGTCAAGCCATGCTGTGGCAGTGTCCCATATAAAGTAGAGGAAGATGGGTACGGATGTTAGCCCAGGGCCAGTCTTCCTCACACACACAAAAAAATGGAGGTGTGGTACCAGTTTAGCGTGACAGGCTGTTGTCCCAGGAGATAATTAAAAAATACTCATTCATGGAAATCCTTAGAAAAATACAAGCCTATGGCAAACCTGTGGGTTTGTGATAATATAAAAACAGATGAACAGAAATAGGAAAATATATGTATACGTCTTAATATAGTCACACAATGAAACACTTGGTGTGATACGGACTTACCAAATACGTAACAGGAATATTTATTCTGCGTATTGAGACAATTAAAAGGCAAATTTGGATGCAACTAATAGTAAAAAGAACTTAAGTGTCCCACTCTGGGGTCAAAGTAAATAGCATGGATGCCCAATGTGTCATCCATATTTGAGGATCTATTCACTTGGCTCTATCTGTAAATCCTGCACAAATCCTGCTTTGTTCATATACTGGAAAGAAAAATACATAGGATCTATTCTAGTGCACAAAGAAATATTGGTTGCTCACTCTATTGGAAAACCTTAAATTAAAAAGAACATTGATCCTTTCTTATCATAGGAAAGGACAGACATGCATGTCAGCCATCGTGTAACAATCATTCTCAGGGCAGCTCCTCAGGGACCGTATGGAATCAGCCCCTGCCAATTATCTTTTCATAATTTTTCCAAGTTGAAGAATCTGAGATCTTTTTATAGCTAAGTTGTAAAATCTTAATTCTGGAAACAAAAAGGGCTAAAAAAACTCTTACCAATAGCAATTTTTAGCAAATTGCTTACAACTGAATTCTGTATGAATAATATGTATTTTTAACTGAATGAATACATATGTGTTATGTGATTTATATCCTTTCTTGTCAGATTCTAAAGGAAATAGATTACATTGGAAACAGAAATTCATAGAGAAAGACAAAGACAGAAATTCAGAAGAAAATAAAACAAACTCAACATCCTAAGAGATTTTGTAATATCTAGTTAATGGACAATATGCTGGAAAAAGAAGCACATAATCAATTTCAAGACAAAATAAACCTCAGACTTTAGACTGGCACCTAAGTGAATACAGAGCTGTATTGAATACAATGCAGTTATCATATAAACAGAGTTTTCCAGTGTCTCACAATAAAACGTCACCTCCACAAACCAGTTCCTTCCTATCCTAAATGCTGCAAAGAGATTTTGTTATAATTAGGAAAACAAAACCCCCCCAAATGAAACAAACAACCTATGTGCTTGTTCTTACATTTTCCAAGTTAATTATCGATAGTTATGAATTTTGTCTGATTTTTAAAATCACTCTTGGTCTTAAAGTAGGAACAGAAAGTTGACCATAAGGAGCTGTGAGTCAGTGGAAATGGACATGAAGTCTGGGCTCTTGGATCCAGTCTGAGACCCGGGGCATCAGGGAGAGGGGGCGACTTTCCACACTCCTGCAGACACTAATCCATAAGGGAAGAGAGACGCTACATTCGCTCGGCTGACTAAGCCCACTTGTTTTATTACTGTTGTAAAAACACGCAGCAGTCTTTCCCATTCCATAGGACACTAAACAGACCAAGGAGAAACGAAGGGGTAGAATTTTAGAAGACAGCCAGGAAAGAGCTTAAAGAGAAGAGCAGAGGACTATCCACACTTTTAGACTTAAAAGAAAACGTCAACCTCTTAACTCTTGCAATTCCCTTACACTTCCTACTTGTTTGTTTCCTGTTGTTCCCTTCCAATCTGCCCTGTATGTTGCTGTAGACTCATAGGTACATTCTAAAATGCCTCATAGGCTCCAGAGGCCATGGTGAGGGACTGAGAAGAAAGAGCAAATATTGTCATCGCCTTTCCACTGGTGTGTGTGACCCAACTGTCAGACCAGATGTCCAGCCCCACAGCTATGTACCGAAAAGAGCAGACTGCTCAGTGGTGATGTGCTGTTGGACCGGAGAAAGGATATGCTCTTAGGAGAGGCTGAATGCTAAAATGCCCGGGTTTCATTTATAAATAAAAATATCTTTGCCTGGACTTCAAAATCCTTCATAACCTGGCTTCCCTGGCATTTCAAGGTGCCCACCGTCCCTCCACAAAGTGGCTCTTTGGCTGGTCTTTGCACCTGCTCTCTCTCAGCTCAGATCGCCTAACTGTGCATCTACCTGTTAGGTCATCCCCACTCTTCACAGATAAACCTCCTACCCCTGTGCTTGCTGAAGCTTTCTAACTGCCCCCTCAACTCCTCTGCCGTTTCCCTCTCCGGATTCTTCTTGCCCATAGAATCAGCACTAGTACATTGACATGCCGTCTTGTATTACTCTCTACATCACCTGGCTTGATGAAGCCGTTGATAAACAACTTAATATTATAGAAGTCCCCAAATACATACTTGATTTTTTGCATGAGTTGAATTTCTTGGCTGGAAATCACATTTGAAGAATAAATTTCTAGAAACCCATGATAACGAGTTTCAAATGTCTTGAGATAAGTAACTTTTAACTTGGAGTAGGGAGGCACAGTAGGGTTAGGAATGGGGACATTGTTCACACCCTAAATGTTAATGAATTAACTGATGGAATCTGGGATTTTTCCAGCTCTCATTTTGCCCTGGTTGTTAATGTCAAGAAAACTAACTGGGAAGGTGCTAAGAAGGAATTGAACCAG